ACATTTTCGCCCTTAACATCGGTGATTGAGAGCAGTAGTGCTGAATCGTTACTTGATAGATTCGTACGTAAAATTCACTTCCGGAAAAAAAAAGAGTATTAATTTGGAGTATTAATATAATAGTGCTATATTATGATTTTTTTAGTTTCCATAGAATTTTCAACCGTCTTAGAATATACCTCCTATAAATCGTTACACGCTGCTAAAAGATTAACTACTCTTAGCACATTTTGATTGTTTATATTAAATTCATAGGGCAAATTACGGCCACCCCTTGAGGTATGACCAAATTACGAAAAACCCCCTCTTGTTTGGGTTGGGTAATTACAGCCACCCTCTCCTTTCAAATATTTTTACATAAAATTTATGTAATTCGGTTACTTATCGAACCAAATCGTATATTCAGTTCGGTAAACGGTATGAACGGTAAACGGTATGAAGTGTTGGCGTATCGAAATTTCGGTTCGATTTTACCGATTTAACATCCCTAAATTTACCTCTGGAGGGGTTTTTTCGTAAGATAATATATAGTTGAGGGGGTGACTGTAATTACCCAAACAGGAGGGGGTTTTCATAATTTGACCATAACTCGGGGTGGCCGTAATTTGCCCTAAATTCATAATACAAATATAATAACTAACACGAAATTAGTGTAATAGCTCCATCTATAGATTTATGTGAATGTCGGAAATTAGTGATTAGTGAATGGATAAAGAAAGTGTGCAGACATTCCACTTAATCTATAGTCTAAAACCTATCTGATTTGCATTCTTCTCAGTGGAGTCAAAGGTGTATTGCATGATTAGACACCATAAATAATACATATGATTATTATCAAAGATTACTATCTATTTCTCATTTCATTAAATTGTATATTTCATTCATTCATTCAGTCAGTTTTTTTTCTTCTGACAAATTTAGTCGAATCAATAGTTTCATATTGGAAAAGAAAGAAGCCAAGTGGTCTAACCGCCTGTCGGAACCCAACCAAAAGATGCAAACTGGACCTAATTTTTTACGTTTTAATATATGCATTTTCGTTCATGTTTTGTTATTGAGGATTTATCTTTTGAGTCTTTTCTTCAGACCTAATAAAAACCATGTAGTTATCCCATCCCAGCTGTTCGTTTGATAACAATCCGTTAAGGCCTCGTTTGGGAATATTGATAGGATTGGTAAGATTGATTGAATTGAATAGGCTTACATTGTCCATGATAACATATGATTATTTTCTGTTTCTGGTTTATGATTATATAATCCTCCGATTGGGTAACAATAACATGATTTGATGTCAGACTAAATATCATTCATGTGCTCGATTATGCCCGGCCCGTTTTTTAGTCACGGGCTTTCAACTTGAATCCCAAATATTTGATACATCTTGATTACAATTTAATTAGAATATCATAACTTAATTACAACTTTTCTTTGGTATAGGTGATATCCACGGTCAATATTCCGATCTCCTAAGACTTTTCGAGTACGGTGGACTACCCCCAAAATCGAACTACTTATTCCTGGGCGACTACGTGGATCGAGGAAAGCAAAGCCTAGAAACAATCTGCCTCCTACTTGCCTACAAAATCAAATACCCCGAAAACTTTTTCCTACTAAGGGGCAACCACGAATGCGCATCGGTCAACCGTATATACGGATTTTACGACGAGTGCAAAAGAAGATTCAATGTTAGAATATGGAAAGTGTTCACCGATTCTTTCAACTGCCTGCCTGTCGCTGCCCTAATTGACGAGAAGATACTGTGCATGCATGGAGGGCTATCGCCCGATCTTCAAGATTTGGATCAAATAAGGAATCTTCAGCGTCCGACCGATGTTCCGGAAACTGGTTTGCTTTGTGATTTATTGTGGTCGGATCCAAGTAAAGATGTTAAAGGATGGGGGATGAATGATAGAGGGGTATCTTGGACTTTTGGTTCGGATAAGGTGACTGAGTTTCTTCAGAAGCATGATCTTGATCTCATTTGCCGGGCCCACCAGGTTTGAAATCTTACCTCCCTTTTTTTTTTCTTTTTTTTTTCTTCGTTCTGGAATGTCGATTTAGAATTCCAATTAGGGGTGAACACGGGCGTATTTGCGCGGATTTGTATAAAAGTTAACCCGAGCCAATATTAGGCAGGCTGGTGGGCGTGTTGAAAAAATGCACAGGACTAACAAATATTCAAATCTATATTATGGTGCTAATACCGAATAGTTGATGCATTAATTGCACCTTTTCTCAGTTTCCCCCTTTTAATTAGTTATTGTAATTAGTTGAGAGAACCAGTGGAGACAATTAATGAGAAAGGGTATTTTAGTCACTTGTGTTTTTATGTAATCCAGTTTGAACTAGGGATGTGATAAATGTCGTTCGAGCTTTAATAATATCGTTACGATTTCAAACATGATTTTGATCATTTTTAATTTCAAATTTTGCAAAACCCGAAAAATAGAATTTGTAGTATTCTGAGTTATTTTTCTAATCCAACTTGAATCACCAAAATTGGATGTCGGACGAGAAAGATATACATGAATCAATAGATATTGCCCATAACTTTCATGTATTGAGATATCTAAAATTCAAAATGTGACTCATTCATGCATAACTTTGTCACACGGCATCCAATCCAATCTAGCGAATTTAAGTTGGATTAGAAAGCTAACCAAAAGGACTACAGTTTTCGTGCTTCGAATTTTGCCAAAATCAAAATAGAAATATATCAAAATCAGATTCGAAGTCAAAACGACATTAGTAAAATTGAAACGACATTTAACATTTCAGTTTGAACTATTGTCTTATTTTGCTAATTTAACGGGATATATTTAATTAATTATTATTTTTTTTATCGATTTTTACGATGAGAATTTGATGTGTAGGTTGTTGAAGATGGATATGATTTTTTGCGGATAGACAACTTGGGACGATCTTCTCGGCCCCAAACTACTGTGGAGAGTTCGATAATGCTGGGGCTATGATGAGTGTGGACGAGACTTTGATGTGCTCTTTCCAAATATTGAAGCCCGCGGAAAAGAAACCCAAGTTTGGATTTGGGAGTACAACCACAACTAAGTCGGGAAGTCCCCTAGCAAAAAAGGTACAACACTTCAATGCGAGCAAAACTTATAAACATCCTTTTATTTACTCGATACAGCATGCTATTATTCTTCTTGCTGAATATATATGCACACACACACACACACACACATACATAAAAAAATACGTTTTTTTCTTCCAAACACCTAGGTTGGAGGGGGGTTAGGCGGACCCCTGACCTGTATATAAACTAACTGCAAAAATACTTTAGAGATGTCTTTATGCTTCTTTATTCTTTATCCTCTATGAATCAATCTTTGTTTTTTTTTTGTTATTATTATTTTCTTTAATACGTAAGAAATATTAGTATGCTATGATTGATGTTAGGGTAAAATTGGAAAATTAAAATTAATTTTGCTTCGAAACTTTGAAGTGACACTTAACTATCTTAAAAAAAATGAAGTATGAAAAATCATTTACCGCTTTGATTAAATTTCTTTTTTACGTTTATCTTTTCAGTCATTTCTTGGTGGAAGAATAGGATGATATCATGTATCGGAACAAGATCGAAGATATTTGACGCTCGGGATTAAAGCCAGGGCTCTTAAGTTCAGAGGGGATCATCTTGCTGTTTGGTGTAGTTAGTAAATCGAAATATATATATTAGGTTTCATTTTTAGGAGAAAAACAAGCTGGGGAAGCTGTAATAATTTATGCCTACTGGTAATTCTAGCCAATCTGATGGGATAACTGAATACATTGTCCACAGAAGATTTCGCCATCTCGATTATTGAAGGTAAAAACGGATCAAGGGTAAAATCGTTGTATTTTTCGTACTGTTTGTGATTTGGTGTTGTAAAGTTCTCTCTTCATGTGAGTTTAATCATATCTTATTTTCTTTTTTTTTCTTCTTCTTCTTCTTTCCTAAGTGGTGTGGTTTAATTGCAATATTGAAAATTATGGTATTCTGTAAATTCACTAATAAATTGTATCGAAGAAAAGCTTTGCGTTCGAAGGGGGTTGAAACACGAGTCTCTGTAAACCAGAGCACGGAACTGATGTGTGATTATCTATTATGAGACATGAAGTGAGATTGCATCGAATGACGAGTCTCTGTAAACCAAAGCGCAAATTTGTGTTACACCCGATGAAAAGTACATTGGGTAGATCTTTAGCTTTCGCCTACATACATGTTTGCTTCTTTTACGTTAGGGTAAGTTTTGGCCACCCTTATGAGGTAAGATCAAATTAGGAAAAAATTCCTCATGTTTGGGTAATTATAACCAATCCCCTCAACTATGAATCTTCTTACACATCTACCCTTGTGGTGTTAAATTTAGCGAAATCTTCTAGAGGATGTGGACTATTCTCCAGTTTCTATCCGTTTTAACACATTCAAGCTCCACATTTTAAAATAAGATGATCATAAGATGTGTCTCTTGACTTGTAAATATCAGATTGTGGTGCATCATAAATTCCATATTTGCCGTTCGAGTATGCTGGTAAACGATGCCTATGGGATATGCTGGTAATAAGCTCGCCAGGTCGATCGAGTACGCAATTGATGATTGATGGGGTAGATAGCAAGCTGGAAGAAGAAAGATAGATAGAGCCTTCAAAACTGTAATTGAGATCTAATATTTTTTCAGAAATTAGTATATGTTTGCTCCATGTCGTTACACAACTTGGATACACAAAAAAATTAAAACATACAAACAGAGAGTGAAGAAGAAGAGAGAGAAAGAAGAAGAGACTTTGAAGGAAATTTAAAATGAACACTCTATCACATAAGCAAAATAAGTGAAAAATAAATCAAGAATCATTACAAAAGAATACGAACTTATAAAACTTTAAGCCAAATCAAATGACACAACCAACACCACAAAAAATTCCAGAGCAAATATACGTCAAACAAGATTACTGACAAAAGAAAACAACATTAAATAGATTATTGACAAAAGAAGACAACATCAAATAGAAGAGTAAAAATCCTGAATAAAGCTCCTTGAACTTCTATCGTCATCGTCACCAAACGTTTCTTGGGATGCCTCTTCGAGTGATTTCCCATTGGGCTCAGGAACAACAAAAGTGCAAATCATTCCAAGTGCATTGATGCATCCAAGAATAATCAGAGCATTCTTAATACCAATACCAGGTGGATAACCAGCATCAGTCTTTGCTTTGTCTTGGTTTTGTGCGGCGTAAAGAAACCCGTAAGCACCAATAATGGCGCCCGCTTTTCCTGCTGCAGCTGATATTCCGTGGCACGTGGACCTTAATCGGGCTGGGAATATTTCAGCCGGCACGACGAATGTGGTGGCGTTGGGACCAAAATTGGCGAAGAAGAATGTGAGGGCGTACATAATCACGAAGCCAAGGTGATTTGTCTTCCAGTGGTCGTAAGGAATGGCAATGGCGAACATGAACACCGTCATGAAGAAAAATCCCATTAGTTGGATCGCGAATCTCCCCATGATATCGATGAATGCCACTGTGAACCAATATCCCGGCACCGTGCTGCAAAGTGCGATCAGTGTTTGGGCCTTTGAGATTCTGAACACCTCGTTGATGGCGTTCATGGTTTTAGCCCGAGGGATCCATCCGATGGCGGATAAGACGTCTTTCTGGAATAGATTTTGGCTGTAAAGGGCGATATCCAAAAGAAACCATGTAGAGGTGGTTCCGAATAAATGAAGGCCGTGGCGGCGAACAAATTCCCGTGAGAATAGGCCGAAGTTGCTACTTTTGTTGCGTGATATCTTCTCCACCTCCTCTTCTTCAACTTCCATTTCCACATTGAGAACTTTGCCCACGTCTGCGGCTGCCTGTTTAGCGTTCTTCGCGATGAGGGCGGTGTAACGGGCGGTTTCCGGCATCTTCATGTTCCAGTAGAAAGTCAAGGCGGCGGGTAAAGCGCCAAACATCAAGACAATGCGCCACACATAGTGGGCTTCGGGTGGTGTGGAGAGGGCCGGATTCTCCTCGTACGTCGGGGTAGGGAACTTACGGTCAAACGCCGTCGATACGATAAGAGAAATAATGCCACTGAACAAGATCCCCATACCTTGCATGGCGAAAACCGCCGCAATAAACGCACCACGAGTCTTCTTGTTGGCGTATTCGGCCATGATGGTGGCGGAAAGAGGGTAGCTACCGCCAATGCCGAAACCCAGCCAGAATCGAAAGAAGCAAAGACTCGCCATTACACCTTTTGGAGTTTTGCGGAAGGGTAAACCTGAGGCAAGTGCGCATATAATCATAATAATGAGTGTTATCCCGTACACCTTTTTGCGACCCATTTTGTCGCCGAGCCACCCAAAGAAGAGCTGTCCGATGAGGGTACCGACGAGTGCAGCACCGGTGACTGAGGAGGAAACGCTCGGGGGAAGAACACCGGGCTTCGGTGAGCCGGGCTTGGTGTAGTAAAGGCGGCCCAATAGCTTAGCAACCAATGAGATGCTAAACAAATCGTATGCGGCGGTGAAGAAGCCCATCCCGGCGATGACAATAGTGGTAAAATGGTAGGCTTGGGTTTTAGCGACATCAAGTGCGTTGAGCACTTGCAATTGATCCCGGGCCATCGCTTAGTTGATGAATTTAATTTCTCTGCATTTAAATAAATAGTTTTAATCATAATTCATATATATATATATATATATATATATATATATATATATATATATATATATATATATATAGAAGAAACAAAATATAACAATTATTGTGGCTACATATTATATATTTAAACGAAATTGTAATGAATATTTGAGTTGAGATCAAAGTCGTACCTGCCCAAGTTGGTTGCTGATAATGGGATAAGAGGATGTTGGGATTATGGCAACTATATATAACGGTCACCTGACCAAGTCGTTGCTTATATGAAAACACCAAAGTAAGAATAGTATTCGGGATAATTACAGTTTTGGTCCCCCAAGTTTGCACATTTTTCACTTTTGATTTTCTATTTACCGCCGTCAACAAAATACACACTAATGTTGTCGCATTTGAACACATTTAGTCCCTCCGCCTGTTTGACCGTTAAGTAGTAACGGTCAACGGTTAAATTTAGGGTTTTTCTTTGAGAAAATTGCAATAAGACCCCTGTATTATTTTAAAATATTATAAAAATCTCTAAAATTTTATCCAACCATAATTTAACCCCAATTTCATCAATTTGCCAATTTTAACCAGTGACCTCGATTTTTCAAAAACGTTAACTTTCTTTTTAACTCAGTTGACTCTTTTTTTTTTTTTTTTTAATTTATCTTTTTTTTTGCCGCTGTTGACCGAAATTGAATGTTGGGTTAACAACGTTGACATTTTTTCTTGATTTTTATTTTATTTTTATTAAATTTTTTAGTAATGAAAAAATATAATTTAAAAAAAAATCAAAGCTGATAATCGGCCATAAAATAATATCATAAAAAAGTAAAAATAAAGAAAAAAGCAAAAAGTCAACGAGTCTCAATAACGGAAAAAATTTAATACAAAAAAAAAGATAAAAATTAACTGCCGGTGTTAGCCCCAAAAACTGTTGTACTAAAGTTTTTATCTCATTCCAAATTATCCCGCACATACTTAATTCATCTTCTTCATATTTTCTTGGGAAGAGATTAGGGATGCACTGGCGGTTCCACAAAGAAAATATTGAAGGGAAGAAATTATGAATTTTAGAAATTTTTTAAATTGTATTTAGGCCCTAGAATTTTAGATAAAAACTTTGTTAGAAGTTTTTAATTTGAATATTACGATACTAGATATTAATATAGTATTATCATTGTGTTATACAGTAATTGTGTTGGTTAGAAAAAAAAAGTCACAGGAAAAAGTTCGAAAAAAATCAAGAAAAATAATTAAGTCAACATTGTTAACCGAGAATACAATGTCGGTGAACGGCGTCAAAAACAATATTTAAAAAAAGTCAATGCCGAATAAAAAAGTAAAAAAAATAAAAAAGTCAACCGTGGCCAAAGTCAGCGGTAATGGTGGTAAAAATCGGGGTTGTTTGTCAAAATTAATTATTATGAAATTAGGGTTAAATTAAGGTTGAATAAAATTTTAAGGGTTTTTAGAATATTTTAGAAGAATGCAGGGGTCCGAGTGCAATTTTCTCCATGAAAAATCCCAAATTCAGCCTTAATCAATAGTTGACCGTTACTTCTTGACGGTCAAACAGACGGAGGGACTAAATGTGTTAAAATGTGACAACATTAGTGTGTATTTTGTTGATGGCGGTAAATGGGGGACCAAAAGTAAAAAACGTGCAAACTTGGGGGACCAAAACTGTAATTATCCCAGTCTTCAACATATTGGAATATTATTCCTTCAAATGTCTTTTTTTATTTTTTTTCTCCATCAAACTGATCTGAATTATTCAGAGATTATTATATATATATATATATATATATATATATATATCATGCAAATTGACATTTTTATGAAATGCAATTGCAAAGGATATATGTTTGTTTTCTTTATGAACCAATCAAATATTAGTTGAGATCAAACTCGTACCTGACCAAGTTTGTTGCTGATGATGGGATAAGAGGATGCTGGGATTACGGCAACTATATATATAACGGTCACCTGCCCAATTAAGAATAATATTCGGCATAATGGAATATACCTTCAAATGTCAACTTTTTTTTTTTCCAGCTAACTTATCTGAATTATTCAGAGATTATTAGCTAATATGCAAATTGACATTTTTAAGAACTGCAAAGAATGTTTGTTTTCTTTCAACCAATTAAATATTAGTTGGAGATTGTTAAGTGTATATTTATACACTTAATTGTACCTTTTAATTGGAGCTTTTGGTGTGTTTTGATGATAATTGGTGCTTAAAATGGCTATTATTTGTATTTTAGGTGCAAATTGGAGAATTGACATCTTTTGGGGTGAAAACTGCAATTTCGGAGAAAAAGTGGGCCAAAAGTGAAAAAAGCAGAATTCTGGAGAATTAAAAGACCGCACGGCCGTGCGGATTTTAGTTCTCAATCTCACACGGCCGTCCGGGTGGACGTGAATGCGCAGTGAAGGAATTTTAATTACACAAGGAAACCCGCCCTATTATATTTTTGCACCCTATTTAAAGGCCAAGAGCACACAATTAGATCGATCTTTTACCTTTTATCGTTATTATTAGTTTTTAGTCTTTCATCTTTTCTACACGCAATCAAGGAGCAAGAGAACGAAGACGAAGACTTGACGACTCTTCATCCTAGTTTTCCTTTTTCCTTTTCTTTTCTGATTTTTATGAACTTTCGTATTTTTAATATGTTTTTCGTTACGAACATGAGTAGCTAAGTTTTTATTCTAGGATTTTATTGGAACCCTATGTGGTAATTCGAACCTATTTTTCTACTTTTATGCAAGTTTAATTCTTCGATTATTTCTTCTATCTTGATCTTATTTAGTGCATGAGCGTAGCTAACTTATGTTGCTATTTGTTATTGTTAGAATTGATTGACAGATCGTTTTAATAATTAGAACAGGGATAGAAGAGCCTTCGAGTAGTTTTTCACCGAATGCGTGTGTTGATTGCATGTATTATCGTAGACATACAGATAATACCTTAGGTAGCCGTTTACGAGACTTGTTATTTAATGCTTTATTTATACTAGGTTTGCATAGACATATAGTGAATCTTTTATGAATAATAGGTTTATAGCGCAGCGGCAGCTGGTTATGAATAATTTCGTGTCTTGGGTTAATAATCGGGAATCGTAACTTGCATGATAGGAGATTAATCGGGTGAAGAATTATCGCATAGGGGGAAGATAAAATCCTAGATGTGTTTATTATTGATATTTTCTCGTGATTACTTGCTTTCTCAATTAGTTTAATTTATTTAGTTAATTAATTTGACAACCCTGCGTAGGCTGGATAAAAATCACAATTGTTAGGATTTGGTACTTAGGATTAAATAATTTGCGTATTCCCTGTGGGATCGACATCCGACTCTCACGAGTCTACTTTACTACTTGTTTGCGATACGTGCACTTGCGTGTGGGTATTTAGCACCCAACAAGTTTTTGGCGCCGTTGTCGGGGAACACGGCTAAATTATTTATTTATCCTAATATTAAATTTAAGCAATTTTTCTTACTTCAGCCAATTTTTTTTTATTTTATTTAATTATTTTTTTTATTTGTTTTTAGGTACTTTTTATGCGAAGAGGACATGACACGAGCTTGCTACCACTTGATCCCGAAATTGAGCGAACGTTTAGGCAAGCCAGGAGAAATCAACGGTTAGCCCAAAACACTCCGGCAACGATGGAAGACGAGAATAATCGTGGGGGAGGTGTCCAAGGGCGCCTACCGAATGCGGCAGGAGATGTCGTTATCGAGCAAGAGCAACGCCAGCTAATCAATCCACCGCCTCGCCAACGAGCCTTGCACGAGTACACCGTTCCGACACTCAATGGGTTCCAATCAAGCATCCAGCAGCCACCCATTGAAGCCAACAATTTCGAGATTCGAGCGGGACTCCTCACGATGCTCCAAAACAATGGTCTTTTCAGCGGATTGGCTCATGAAGATCCACATCTTCACTTGGTCAACTTTCTCGAAACGTGCGACTCGCATAAGATGAACGGAGTAACACCCGAAGCACTGCAACTCCGCCTGTTCAAGCATTCCTTACAAGGCGCAGCCCGAGAATGGTTACAAACTCGTGCACCGTACTCCATCTCGTCTTGGGCCCAGCTAGCACAACTTTTCATGAACACATACAACTCCCCAACAAAAACTGAGAGAATCCGGAGAGAAATTCAAAATTTCATACAAGAAGCCGGTGAAGCACTATTCGAGACGTGGGAGCGGTCAAACAACTAGTGAGGAGGTGCCCGAATCACGGACTTCAAGAGTGGCGCCAACTGCAAATATTTTACGATGGGCTACAAGACAACTCGAGAACCGTGCTCGACTCCGCAGCTGGAGGAATGTTCATGAGTTTGACCTACGACGAAGCATACGAGCTCTTGGAACGAATCGCTAGAAATAAATACATGCGGGCATCGGACCGGTCGAATAGCGGAGCAGTCAAGACGGGAGGAATTTTGGAGTTAGACGGGGTCACTGCAATCACGGCCCAGTTAGAGAAGCTATCGAAGCAAGTGGCGGCTTTGCAAACTCAGCAAGTCCACGCAGTCCAAGTTCCCGATCAAAGCGTTGACGAAACGGAGTCGCTAAATTATGTGCATGACGCCAACCGACAACAGAGGAACCCGTATTCCAACACGTATAATCCGGGATGGAAGGATCACCCTAATTTTGGGTGGGGAGGCAATCAGCAGGGACAAAGGCAGGCACCCCCTCAAGGGCAACCGCCTAATTATTCACGACCAGCTCCCGGATTTCAAAATCCGCCTCAAGCTCAACCTCAAGGAGGAGATCTCGCAAATATATTGGCGCAATTTATGACAACCACCCAAGCCTCCATCCGAAATTTGGAAACACAGATGGGCCAATTTGCGACCCAATTGAACGCGAGGCCAGCCGGTACACTACCGTCAAATACGGAAGACCCTCGAAAGGGCACCAACGAACAATGCAAAGCCGTCAGTTTGAGGAATGGAAGACAACTAGAAGAAGTGGCGAAGAAGGCAACAAGCAAGGATGGGGAGGCGCAACAA